CTCCTCCTTTGGCATACGTACATGGTGTAATCACTTTCACAACAAACCAAATCTCCCCACACTGGTCTATTTACAATGCATCTGTGATTCCCCGTCTGTGTGTTCTTCAGTCCGGGTTTTCCTATTTTTGGTAACTCTCATTTCTGACTACCACATGAAATACTATACATCTCCTGTTCAAGATTCTTCGCTTGTTGCAAGATTTTAACAATGAATATTTGATATAAAAATGTTGCTAAGCGCTTGTTATTATACATTTCCCACCATGCCCGCTCTTATTTGTTTTCTCCTTCCTGCCTTGAAGGAGCAGTGCCACCCAATGTCAAGCGTTAGCATGATTCAAGCTAAGAAGAAGGATGCGGACCGAATCTAATCTTTGCACTTGAAGTGTGTACTCTGCCCATATTTAGTCATGCTGTATAGCTTTCCCATGCCCGCAGCGTAACTTGGCGTCCTTGAAGCAATCATCACTTAAAATTGGAACACTCCCTACTGGAGACCTTGTAGAGACGCACAGACATAGGAATGCACCAGTTGATACAAGCTAAAAATCAGTTTAGGAGAAACGAAAGTCCTGGTGAGTTTTGGTGCAGCCCTTCTGATGATATAAATACATTGTGAATCCCTCTTTGCACTCATGACCACTGCAGCCATTGTCTGTAAACCGCGTGTGCCCGAAATATTCTGCAAATAAACCCTTCGAAGGTACTGTTCATCGACTCCAGCCTGTATTTGGATAACCAACATTCTCCTCGTCCAAAATTCAACGAAGACACAGGGGAAAGAAGGTCACTTTGCCCCCAACACACTCTAGCTTGGTTTCTCTTGAGGTGAAAGAAAATACGAGCATCAGCACGATAAAATCTGAGGGCGCCGGAATCATGGATGTCATGATCCCAGCGTGCACGGCTCCAAGCTGAGGTTAAACCAGCAAGTGTAGTTTGCTAACAGCTGTTTGTTCATCTGCTGGCTAATAACACACAGACAGAAAGATTAGGCCCCTCGTAGCCGTACCATCTCAGACAGTCCAACAGATTTTTTTGGAATCTGTTTGGCATTACAGTATTAGTGTAAAAAAGCGATATGAATTCAGGGGAAGCACATGCTTTTCGCTACAGGTTCATGAGCACTAGTTTTGCTATGCATTTACTCATTTTTTTTCCCCAAAAGCTATGCGTTGAAGCTGTCCAATTCATGTTGTTTTGTTCAGTAGGGAAACATATTTTTGGCCTGTATGTTCCTGTGCTGCATGTGTTAAGTGTGAGTTCAAATGGTTTTGTTTATTATGTGTGTATTATTCATTAGTTTGGCTCCTTAATATTACAGTTATGATTTGAAATGATGCTATATTTGATGTTCATCACTGTTTGGAATACACACTTCTTTCAGCTAGATGTGCTAGTGGTTGGCCAGTGTTCATAACTGTCTTGAATTCGAGCAAGAATTGCGCAAGTCACAGACTGCTGCAAAAAATGTTTCATATCTCACATAAATATATGCCATGCAATAATATCAAAGTGTAAACTCTGACTTCTGTTTAAAACATTCCCCAAATAGACTATATGATCAGTCTTTTTTTTTTTTTTTGTTAACATTTCATGAAGACCGTGCATAACCTTAACCATACAAACATTTCTGATATTTCCTTTGAAACAAGAAAAAAAGTATTCATTCATCCATGGATGAGGTGTACAGCAGACACACTTGCGCTCTCTGAATGGGGGGTAATAATCTGGATGACCAAAAAATAATCTTGAATAACTGCAAAACAGTAGCAGCACAAAGGAACGTTTTTATGGCAAGAACCACACAGACAATTTTGCTTGGGTGTGGGGCCAGTTTCACGCAGCTTTACTCTCCGATCAGAGTTGCATCGTTTTGAATGCTGCACCAGCTCCGTGTTTTACCTGTATTACCTAACAGTAGTCATTAACAGAATGTGTGTGGGCATGCACTCTAGAAGAACATTTACATACAGGCATAGCATATAGAGCTAAAATTTTCTATAGAGATAGACGGCTCACAAAATTGAGTCTTCGATATTGATCAGGGAAGAATAAGAACTGACACTAGCTGCAGAAATCAAGCATAATCTAAAGATTGCCACATGTGCCACGTAAGGGGTAAGTGTACAACTGAGAATCTTGCCAAGTGTATTTTTAGAGATACCAGAGAAACTGCTCAAAAGAGGAGAAATTGAGTTTCAGGCAGCGAAAAATGTCGATGTCCTGTGGAAAACATGTCTATGCATTTTTGTCATTTAAAAAATGTTAACGTTCATCCCATTCATGTAAAAATAAATGTTAAAAAAGGCAAAAATGGACATACTTGTTTTTCACAGGGCAGTGACAATATGCTTGAGGCAACAATGTGAATTACTCACGTCGTGCACTTGTAATTCACCCACAGGTGACATTGGCTGGGAGCCTCGCCAGATGGCCTTGTTAATGACCCCAGTGTAACACCCAGTTAAGAAATCTGAAGTTACAATGATTGACAAATGACACCTTCAGACTCAAGAGAAATCCTACCTATGATTGGCAACTACACTACAAGTCCAGTTTCTCTTTACTGGTTTTGAGTGGTGCAAATTATTCGTTTGGACAGACGCGGGATGAGGCAAATGAGGATTCGGCTTCGACTGTTTTAAATAGGACCTGAGAAAGACCACCTCACACGAGAGGCATTTGGAGGATTTGGCATCAAGTGAATCGACTGATGCTGATTAAAGTGACGCTGTAGTTTATAGTATGTATAATGTGTTTAATATTGTCCATTCAGCAGCCTGGATATATGTGGTTGAAGGGAGAATAGAGATTTTCTTCTCTGTGTCTGAGACATAATCTGCCTCAAGAAGAAGTTTTCAACGTTAAGACATGCTGTTTTTCAAGTTGTTGGAAGAGCAGCATGTAATCTACCAAACCGCAAAGGAAGGTAGAACATACAGCACCCGCTGTGGATTTTAATACGCTAAATCAAAAACCGGAGGTTAGACGGTACAGAAAGTGCACTTATGTCTCAGTGAAGGTCACGCCAATTATGTTTGATGGAAGTGCAACCTCATAAGCCACTTTTCCATAAGAGGTGTCTCTTATGAATATAAATCAGAATAAGAAGCCGGTGTGTGGTAGGATGAAGGTAACTGTTCAGTTTTCTCAGTAGTGACAAGGCTTCCAATGTCAGTGTGACAGAAGAGGACAGTGATTACATTCACAGGGTGCTGCTACACATTTAAATTTGAGCTATGCCATGAAATAAAAAAATTCCATGTTCTCTGTGAAATAAATGGGTATTCAAAAACAGACTCCTGCCTTTTATACACAATTCGTTTAATTGCCTTTGTGAAAGCTAATATTTGTGATGTTGTTGAAAGGCCAGTGATGTTCCCATTCTTAACCATTGGGCATTGAAAAGATGTTTTTGAGTAAACTTATGTTCTGATCAATTCAGAATAAAATCATATATCAGGCAACATGATTAACACTGATATCCATCGATTGGGGTGCCTGAACAAGATAATAATTGAGCATTTTGTTTTGTTTGTTTATTGAACATAAAACATATACAGTAATAATTTGACAGAAAGTAAGGTAAGTAAAATAGTAAAAAGGAAAGAGAATCAGTCATCATTCAACACAATTCTTATGTTCAAGGGAGCATTGTACAACATGTTCTCCTGTGATCACATTTTGTGCTTTAACCAAAATAAACTACCGGTGCTTGTTTCTCGCCTCCTTTCCTCCTTTTCTGATATAGCCCAAATGCTGGGGGAGTGTGTGAGATTATGCAGGACATAACGATATAGTGAGGCAGGTGAAAACAGAATTCATATGAATCCTCCCTGACCTCTAAAAGAGAGAAAGCGAGGGAAGCCACAGACAGTTATTAGATTACTTTTGATGTCTCGCGATGGACTGCTTTCCCGTAACCCCCCCCCCCCCAAAAAAAAATAAACAAATAAAATACAGACGGCAGCTCCATGGCTCGACACCGGCACCAAGTGGAAGAAGTAAATTTTGGAAGGGAGAATAAATAAGGGCGACCGGTTTTCTCAGGAAGAAAGAACCTTTTGATGTTCCGTTATCAAACATGGATGATGTGGGAGGGGAAATAGCTTGTTGCTGTTAACACCGAGTTCATGTTTTAATTTGAGAATTTCGTTGATGATTTAGAATTGGAACAGTAAATTAGATGCTAATTCGTTTCCAGTAAGGCCATGTGATGGCAGTATAATGTATTCTCAGATGTATGCACTAAACGGATACTGGACAACACTCCACATTGTGACATTGTGGATGTGCGAATTAAACCGCTCCATAATTTCGGCCATTCATTTCATGAAAAACCGATGGTCACGCCACCTTTCGGTTCATTGGCAGTCCTCTTCTATGACGCGTTACTTGTAGCCAATCTGAGAAACGTTCTCGCGCGAGTGGTGCCACGGAAACTGTAGATATATAATCTAGTTGCCTCGACCAATGACAAATAACACGTCCATGTGTCGTCATTTTACGCAAATTATTTAAAGCAACAATGCCGCATTGCTGTTGTGACTGCGGCTTTGATTGTCGGGTCGATTTTTAAAAATCTGTTTAGTCTAAGGGTCATGAACTTTGTGTGTGTGTGTGTGTGTGTGTGTGTGTGTGTGTGTGTGTGTGTGTGTGTGTGTGTGTGTTAGAGAATGAATGGGTGAGGTAGTGGTACGTATAAACTTCGAGCACTTCGTAGAAAGGCGCTGAATGAAGACCAGTCTAGTTACCGTATTTGCATTAGTTTTGATGCAGATATGCCACACAAAATATGGCGGATGCGCTGACGCTCGCAGAAACGAACCTTCCTCTCAAATCGGCGTTTATATGTTATATGTCTATGGCGGGAACTATCAAAGACGCAAAGTAACCAGGAAATACATGTTTTTTTTTTGTATCTGGCGGGGCTGTTGGACATTTTATGTGAGTTTAATTATAAACATGAACGTGCTTAGTGAAACATAAGTTCAACATAGTAAATAAATTACTTATCTACAGTATAAATGCAACTGTCTTGCGTGACCGAAAAAATCCTTATCCTAAATTTTTACACCATCTGATACAGTACGTTATCACTACTATTGTAGGTTTCATATATTGATTGTTGCAGTTAAAACATCAAATGGACATTAGGATGGAATGTCGATCTTGACAAATGATAATTGGGAACGTGTTGTTATTTTTTTCTGTTTTACTCTGCTGTCATCTAATATACTTGAGCAAATGCTTGGCTCTGTGTAAGACTTGATTTACAAATTAGCGGCCGGAGCAGGATGCGATTCAAAAGGTCCCCAACTGTCATTTTAAAAACGTAATCTTTGATATCCTTTTATTAGGTTTGCGAGGTAAAATGGGTTAAGCAGGAAGTCCCTTTTCGAAGCTATTTGCGTTGATTTGAAACAAGGTTTTTAACGTTGCTGTTTTAATTATTGTACTGTTCTAGTCCAGAGGCCAGGGAATCTTTTACTTTTAGCTATTATACAAATAAATGTATTTACGAGGTACATAGATAGTTATATATTTAAAATATAAATATATGCTTTTATAGAGAATATCCATCCATTATCTGATCTGCTTATCCTCACGAGGGTGATGGGGGCTATCAAAGCTGTCCACAGCCTGAACTGGTTCCCAGAGAATCTCAGAGGACACATAGACAAACAACCATTCACACTCACAATCACACTCTGGGACAAATTAGAGCAATCAATCAACCTGCTATGCATGTTTTGTGAACATGGGAGGAAACTGGAGTACCCAGAGAAAACCCGCACGGGGAGAACATGCAAACTCCACACTGGTGCGAAGAATATGATTTATAAAGAATATGATTTATTTGATTATTTTAAAATAAATATATTTTTTCCAAATTAGAAGGTATATTTGTTTATTTATTGCATTCTTTTTCAAGAAAGTTAGAAACAGTTATGTTGATATTCTTGTGCCTGTCTCTGAGGAAGTAGAAACCTTGCCCTTAGACCAGTGCGTCTCCATAGTTTTTAAAGATTTTTTTGTAATTCTTTTGTTCAGCAGAGTGCTGTAAGATTATTTTGTAAGGTGTCATTGTGCATCGGCTCTATGAAATTTGGGGAAACACTGGTAGAATCAGTCTACAGTTAATCTACCTTGCATGTGTTTGAACTGTGGTTGGAAACCATAGCACACAGAGAAAAGTCACACAAGTATGGAGAGAAAATGCAAACTGCTTAGTTTATATACAGTACATACTTAAATATTTTAATTCTTCTAATTGGCAGGACTTCAGAGGGGCTCAGAGCATCATAATGTATCAAAATCAGGCCAAAGAAAAGCTAGATGAACTGTTCTTGAAGGAGGTGAGTAGATCCTGAAACTGAAATCATATGTTTTAATAATTTGGCAAATTCCCTACAGACCTACACAATACAGATTCAGTTTATCCTTGTCATGTGAAAATGTGCTATACAAATAAAATTGACATTGTTGTCAAATCGCTGTGCATTTCGTTATGGTGTGGTTGTGTTCAAACGGAGCTCCACACTCAAATGTTTTACGAGAAGCACAGTCTGCCACAGTTTGCCAGTGATGATACATTTAAGATGTACACTGACTTAATTTAAATCTTAAACTTGTTGCAGGTACTGAACACTTCAAGTTTTCAAATTCAAAACGGATACTGTTCGTTGTGTATATTAGTGCACAAAATAATCCACACTTAAATTGCACACAGAATCACTGTGTTCAAAGAACAAAACCAACAAAAATGAATTTCACAAAAAAAAAAACAAAAATAAAAAAAAACCTGAAAACATTGCTCTGAAAATTTACTGCAAATGAATGTGACTTGCTGTTCCCTTTCCCCTTGGCAAGTGCCACTCTCATATAGTTGCAACAAAGTTGTGAAGGAATTTGCACTTGTATCCATTTAAATTCACATTTGGAAGATGCCTGATTGCATGTGTTTCGTTCTTTTTACGCTGGGGAACACATCCAAATTGTGCTTTTTGAGAGCAAGAAAATCTGCATTGTGTCACTTGAACCGTGCAGTGTAAATCCATCATTATTCAAACGTCTGAGGTATGACCCTGCTATTGTGAATATTTGTATTGCAGTTAACTATGGATCTCTTAAAACATGTGGGAGTGATCTGCTGTACAGCTCCACTGTTACTTTCTATGCACAAAGGCAGGTGTGACATCGATCCAATTCTCCCAAGGACGGATTGGATCAATTACTGAGGATTTATTTTGTTGATTAGATGGTATGCCTTTTTTTTTATTAACGGGGACAAAATAGCACAGTAGCCTGTCAAGTATACCAAATGTAAATACACAAATCAGATTTTTTTTTATTTCTTAAAGTATAAATACAAAGATATCCCTCACACTGATGTGACCATGATTACTTTTCAGTCTGTTTCAGATGACTCAGGGGATTTACATGACAAGCTGTCAGCTTCAAAAAGTAGTCATCAATCCCAGAAAGGTACCGTGCCACCATGGAAAGGGAATAAATACAGCAGTGAAATAGGATCTGTTAAAGCAATTTATCACAAAACAATAAACTAATGTTACTGTGTTTATGTAAAATAAGTATCGATTCTCTTCATGGTTCTTTCTCTTCTTACTGTAAAGTTGCCATGCAGCAGGGCCATAAATGTCCATATTCTAACCATTGCAACATCAAGACATGACAGATATTATTTTTCATAGAGAACAAGACTCAAGAGATTTGAAGTGCTGCAAACAACTTCACTTTGGCTACCAATCAATTCAGTTAACATGTAAGCAGAGATGCAGCGCTGATGATTGCCATGACATCATCAGGCAATCAAATGTCACACTCATTTGAAAATGATCACATTTCACAACGGGCCTGCTCAACATGATGCAGTTTCAGGTTTCCCATTTCTTATGATTCATTCTCATTTTGCTCATTGTAAGTGAGCTCAAGCATCACAATTGCTCATTGGATTCTCACTGGATCAATGTGTGCCTCATTTGAGATGAGTTGGCTTTTCTTACACATCATTTTAGCTCCCGGAGTCCTTAATAACGGTCTGCAATTGTCCCCCTAAGCTGACATAGTCGCTAATGTTCATAATTGCAAGCTATAAAGGGATTTGTATGGTATGTTGTCATTATTAATGCATCGATTCATCCCTTACTCTTCCTCACGGTCCCAAGAGCCTCTTTATACCCAAAGGCTAACTCCCGGATCTGTACACAGGTGCCATCCTATACCGATTTAGACTTACGATTATTTTGAGTAGCTCTTATCACTGGCTTTGTGTGTGTGTGTGTGTGTGTGTGTGTGTGCAGTATTCCACGCACTAGAATGTGTGGTAAATATTCATTGTTTGTATT